ACTTTTCACCAAGCAGCTGCCAGTTTTTTGTTTTTTTTTAAAGAACTGCTTTTCATTCACAGAGCTCTAATTTCCATCAAACAGAGAACACAGTTGAGTCTGTAAGAGTGGTGGCCTTGACATTAGAGCTCTGCAGGGTTTTCATCCCATGCTGAGCCTCCCACTCAGACACAAAGCTCAGAGCTGCAACTGGACATTGTCCCCTGTGATTACATTTTTAACACATTGGAGATGACCTGAAGGGATGATTGAACACACACACACACACACACACACACACACACACAACCTTGACCTTAACCCAAGTCTTCACCCTTAAATGGTCCTGTAACAATGCAAGGATTAAACGTCCTCATAACCTATAAAATGTCCTCACAACTGAGCCAAAAAATCTCACAAAGACAGAAGAATAAGCTAGAAAAACCTTGAGTGTGTACATTATTACACACACATTGGCAAACTTAACACACGTGTGGAAAGAACACACATCACACATCATGCATATACTGTGTAGTAAGGATGATCTGTAATAACTGTGCTGCAGGTGTCGTTGAGGCTTACTGAAGTTTCCATGGTTACTGGCATTAACAATATCCAATCTGTCTCCACCAGCGATTGCCATTACTTCACCATCACCCTGCTCCCCTTTCTGCTGAAGAAACTTTTATTATGATTCTGCTGATGATGCATGTGGAGAAAGCAGCTTTCTGCCCCTTATTGAGTTAAGATAATATTATTATGCACCAACAGATTCGATATATCCTTGGGATGTCATCTGTAAGTTAAACCTCAGGGGAGGTGATGGTATTGTAATGTATGGAATAATGAGCTCTGCTGTATCAACCGCTCCATTGAAATGAGCAGATGGTTAACTGCTTTTTCACTGCCTCCTGTCTCTGAGGGTTGTCAGTTGTCTCAAGACAGTTGAGTAGAGGAGGTCAATAAGGGCAGAAGAAGAATGGTATGTTCATTAGGTGTGAAATTGTGGGCACTGGGGCACAGGGTGGGTGACGGAAGGAAAGACTTAACAGAGAGATAAAATAGGCAGCAGGGAGAGAGAAAGATGTGGAGCATCTTATGACCTGAAGGGAATTAATATATATATATCCTCCCCCCCCAAAAAAGAGAATGCTTAATTGGCTGGAGAGGTTATGTTATTTTCCTCATTGTTATTCGAAAGGAACACTCACAGAAGGAAGGCTAAAAGACTATGGACTCTTCTACCCTCAGGCTAAAGTTTTCTGTTTAAAGTAGTCAGTTGCCCAAAATCACAAATTGCATATTTGCCTCAAAGTGCTGTGTAGTTTGACAAAATTTGCCCTGCTCAATGTGTCACATCATATGAGGAGGTCCATTTAAAAATTAGTTTTGATATACATTTTGTGTTATATGTTAAAGAATAAATATCAGCCTGGAGGACTGATCAATATGTTTGACATCGTTGTCATCATGTGAAAGCAGGATCTTTCACAATATCAGTATATATATATATCATAGAATGACAAATACACAAATTATCCATCCATCCATCCATCTTCTCCCGCTTATC